CAAACTAATATTTGTGCACTTTCTACTTTGGCTTCCCGGTTAGGGACATCCAAAAAAAGCCGGCAAAAAAATTCTGCAGTTACAGAATTGCTCTGGAAGTTGGACTGAGAGCAAGAAGGCAGCATTTGATAAAACACTGAGGAAAGGTAAAGAATGAGCCAGAGGAGAAAAAGGATCAGAAAGGCTGTCACCATGCTCCAACTTCAAACCCTTGTTTTGCAAAAGCTGCCGGAGTTCTGGAGAGAAAACAGCTGAAGAGGAGCCCTTTCTTTCTTCTGCTCATCCTCAGCCTCCACCCCGTGGCTTGTTGCATTTTACCCCAATAGAACATGGGCTTTGTGAGCATGAGGTTGAGTATGAAAAGACTTACGGATCTTTTAAAGCTGCTAAATTTTCCACCACAAGAATTTAGGTCTGTAATTCACTCCAACACTTTCAAAAAGTGTCACTGCATGCATTTCAGTCAGCCAAATTACGCATTGGAACTAACGAAATAAAAAAGTCTGTCCAAATGTGGAATGCCATTTGAATTCTACTGTCAGCCTTAACAACAAATAAACATTATTGTGAAAGGCTGGCTGTATATGTGTTTCAACCTTTACCCACATATAAGCAACACATCACTATTTTATAAGGATTACCAAAATTAAAATGTTTCTGGAATACTACTGCATTCCAAGTGATACTATTAGTTTATCTCTGTCCTTCTTTTCCTATGTAACACTTAAGAGAAAATGTGAGTTTGATTTTTCTATTAACTTTATTGCCTTCATACTTAGCTGTTCGTATAAAATTAGTTTTATTCATATGGCCAGTGCCCAGTGTATATAAAAACTCTAGTTTATAACAGTTTTAATGAAAATTTTTAATGTAAGTTAACTATGTGTAAACTGTTTGCAATTTAGGGACACGGATGATTTTCAGTTAATCAAACTGATATGATACTTCTAAATATGTATGTGCTAATTTGTTCCTGTACAAACTATGACATAATGCAAAAGCTTAGTAAGTCACACTATGCCATGTAGGAGCTCACAGGCAATGCCACTGGATCCCATGGCTCCAGAAATTCTCTCTCTGGCAGCACTTCCATTTGGAGCCTGCAACGGAAGAAGCCACAGCACGGAAACAGCAGACGTGCACTGCTTACAGTAGACTGATTATCTTAATGGCACATTCAGAATAAAATATCACCAAAGTTCTTGCCCTGCCTCATATTAACACTCACCCTCAAGCTGTGTCTCCCAAGATATTCTTCCTTCTGCAAAACTTGTTATGAAGGAAACCTCAGGAGATTTATGAATTTATGCATTAAGGTACGTACCTGATTTTCAGTAGGCCTGCCAGATATTTTCTTTTGAGCTTTCCAGAGGACACAACTGAGCCTAACTGATCTTCAGAACACAATTTAAGACAAATTGCTGTTAGAAATGGGCACAGCAACAGCTGATGTGTGATTTGTACTTCCAAAGAAACCTCTAAGAAAAAAACCCTCTTCCTGGCCATCATCACTATGGAAATTTTAGCCTTGTCATCATCGGTATTAACTTCAGTGTTCATCTAAATTTTCTCTATAAATCCTTTAACAAAGAGGGATAGGGAAAAATATAAAAAAATAAAAGTCATGGTTTGCCTTGTTTCCAAACGTCCAATCTTTCTGGTAAAGAAATCGGATTACAGAGTAACAGAGAGCCTGTGCTCAATCTTCAGGCAAACCCTGTTATTGCTCGGTTGTGAATACTGAGCTCCATATGGAGACAGACTTTGAACTCTAAGAAGGAACTTCTCATTTGGATGGCTAACGAAGCAGAACCTTTTTTCCTTTTTTAGACACCAGAACTCAGATTTCACACATTAGGCACAAATTTAGAATGAAAAGTCTTTAGATATGAGATGTGTATAATGCATATGGATTTTTTGCTACTTTTGAAATGGAATTTTGTTTGCCTGAATCAAGACACGGAATTTGGTTAGGAATAATTAAGACATTTTGGACTAATCCTTTGCATTTAAAAATATCGAGTTGCTCATGCAGTCTCTCTACGGGCGCATGCATAGAGCAAAGTTGTCATAGATTAGATCTGCAATGATCCAAAGTATTTTTGCACAAATTGAAGTTCTAAAGCTTTGTCAGATTTCACAAATGCAGCTTGCATGCACAGTCTATTCATACAGGTCATTTGTTTGGAAAGACAATATTTAGAATATGAAAAGATCATTCACCATTCAAAATACATTATTCCTGAGGACAGTGTGTGCCTTATACTTCAGTAAAATAACGTGCAGTCAGTGCAGACAGCATACTAAATGAAGTCTAGCAAAAAGTTTTCTCAGCTTAAGCAAATAGCTAGATAGTTGCAAAACCTTTAGACGCTGCTGATGTCCTCCAAAAATAAAGGAGCACACAGTATTTCTCTAAAATGTCTTGTGCTTTTCCAGTGCGTAAAATGCACAATCTCAGATCTACATACTTGCCTTTGATATACTCTTATTCACCAGTGTTGAAAATCACTAATAATACATGTATCTCAGATATAAAAGTGGGGTGTTTTTTTCTGTGTGTTAAGTCCAATTGGAATTTGCTTAAGTACGTACTGACATGTGCTTATATCCACAGCAGAAACAGGAAAGTATAAAACTATCAATCAGTATTTCTCATTTTTGCCTAATTTTATTCTGTATCTTTACACCTTGAGCCAGCCAAGGTATTTTGGTTTTAGAGAAAGCATTAAAAAGAGAACTCATCTGTGACCTTCTGAAGAACTATCACTACATGGCACAGAGACAACTGTGACGCACAGTTAATGCTGTCAAACAGTGCTTGATATTCCCCATAATGAAACAGAGAGACTATAAATTAAATTAAATGGTGTCATTCTATAAGCACTGAGGAGAGTGCATTAGTTATTTCTGATAATGACTCGTTGAGGAACATAGTACACAACCCAGAATATGAAGGAACAAAACAGGCTTTCCAAAATATAGGAAGCAGAGTTCTACCAGCCCTTTATGATAGAACTAATAATCTGATAATAATCTGATAATCTAATAGATGTGATTAGACCATACCTTCCAATTTCTTCCCTCCTTTGCACAATACTGTAGACACTGCTATAGCTGCCTTATCTGGTCACAAAGAGCTTGAATTAACCAAGAAATCTCATTAATATGATGAAACAACTGAAGGTCCTATGCGAGGCCCCTTGGATACAATAGAGCATACCCATCCACTTGGACAGGCTCTTGACTCTTAATTTTATATGACATAATAAAATGATTGTGCTAATACATGCAAGTGAATACTAGAATCATGCTTTTTGTTAAATAGGGTGTTGTAGGTAACAATTCAGGTCTTTTCATATCTGTCAGCAGTGAATTTGCCACAGCTTTATCCCTAAAAATAATATCCAAATTTGCAGCCTTTACAGTTACTGTGATTTGCTCTTTGTTTTTAAAATTTTTCTCATCCAATATAGAGAAGCATTATTTAAAATTGTACAAGAGGAACGCAATGATTGTAACTGTTACTCCACTCCCTCCTCTGCAAGTGAACCCTGCACACTTGTTTAAATTTTTTAAGTTTAGTGCTTATCTTTTCCCACATTATGAAATGTAAGTAGTAGACAATTTCATCATCACAACGTGACTATAACCATAAGCAACACTGCTGTATGCTGTATGCATGGAAAAACTGAAATTTGATTCTTTACATGAACATCTACCTTTCATAGTGATTTTATCCAAAAAGCCTCCCAAAATTCTAAGGCGGCATACAAATAATAATAAAAAAATCTAAAAGTAACCACTGCGTGTATGTGCTTTTATATACAATCTTTATACATATCTGCCTGTATCTAACTCCCATGCTTTGACTTATTTAGGCCAATAAAAGAAGTGCACATTACTGGAACATTTACTATTACAATAAAAAGAGCATTGTTATAAAGTGCTCTGCTTCTCCTTCCCTGAACAAGCAAGTCACAACATTATACTGGATGTCTGATATATATCTGCAAAAGCTTGCATACTATAAAGAGTTAATTGTATATTCAGGACGAAGTCACTGTATGAGAATATTTCAGGTTAGCATTCTGTGAAGTCATGGAATCACTGCCCAGACAGGCCAGAGAGAACGGTAACACAGTTAGACATCCGCATGCTACATCAGAGCATGAAAATGACAGTTTTTTCACCCTGGAAGCGTGTGGAGGTGGCCTTTCTGCACACAAAAGTAGAAAGACAACCCAACAGCCACGTCATTTTCAAATATAGCTGCAACGTGGGCAATGCGATGCATTCTCTTCGTGCTGCTGTTTTCTCTTTGAATTTAGACTTTTGGTTTCCAACTAGAAGGATAAATTAATGACAAATTAATGTGCAAATCTTAAACTGCATAGTATATATTAAGCAGCCACAGACCCCTTTTGTAGGGTAGGACCACATCCACAATCTCAACAAGAGACTAGGACAAACCTGACAAAACAGTAAGCCTGAAAGATCATTTATATCGAGTTATGGCCACAAAGGCAACAATTGCTCTTTTCTTCAGAGGCATTACAGATGGAGCCGAGCAATCAGAAGCTGTGAAGTAGTGGATATCACATAAGTTGGTTTTAGCCATGCCCTTACTGTATAAGTTCATTGGTTGTTGTTTTTTGTTTTGTTTTGTTTTGTTTTCCTGTTATGCTGTTAGTATCTTCATAAACAGCATGAAAATTCATTGCCTTTTTTTAAACTGGAGTGTCCAAATTTTTAATCTGTCTGCACATTCCTGAGTGCTGATTCTCTTGGATGCTCACCACAGACCAGTTACAGGTAAGGCTTTTCATTTTCTTCATCGGAAGCATCTATTTTCCAGTTCCCACAAAGCCTGCAACTGTACTGCCCAGCAAGAACATATATACAGCGCGAATCTCACACACTGATGCCAGACTCTGGCTTCATTTTGTAGCTACACCCTTCAATCTCCAAAGAGTGTTTTTGTTGCAGCATGGTAGTGACTAAGGCCATTCATGGTGATACTGTTTCCCATTCTTTTTCCTTTCCCTCTGCAAATGCTCCAGTTCAGCCTCATACATCATTTCCTGGACTAAGTATTTCTCTCTTCTCATTCTGTCGCACAAGTCTTTGGGCATGTCTGGAATCAGGTAGGCAATGAAAGACTTTATTCCAAAAACAAGGTGCTGTAAAGAAGAACAAAAATCATTGCTTCAAAGATGCATAAATATTCATTTCCAGGACCACATTTTAGTGCCTCAAAGTCTGTGGCAAAACTGGAACTGAGATTTAATTCATGACTAAAAAGCATTTCCTGTTTTTATTTTAATATATATACACGCATACAGGAGGAAATGAGAAGCCTATCAGAAACATGAAAATGCTGAAGTCTTCTGAGAAGTTGAACTAAGGACTAAGAAGTTGAAATGGTAACCTAAATGAAGATGTAACTGCAGGATAGTTTGAACAACAAAAGCAGATGCTACCTACAAGTAGTCTTTGTTAAGAGCTTGCAGTCAAAGTAAGTAACTGGACAGTATGTAATACGTTCTTCAAAGTTAGTACACGGATTTCTACAAGGCTAGAGTTACACATCATTTTCCTGACACAAATTTTAACTTTTAATAACTGTGCTTAATGTACACATAACATGCATTTCTTCCTCTTCAATAGAACATGCAAGATTTGATTGAGAAACATGATGTATAAGATGAGTGTTAAGGAAATATGATTTTGCAGAGACTAAAACCTGTGAATGCTCTGTTAATTGTTTGATTGATGACAGTTTGTGGCAGGTGTTTTATTATCTTTTTCTCTTGACTATAATGAACAAGCAGTTGATGAAACCAACTTTTTGTGGAAATACTGCAAAAAATCCCAAACCAACTCAGACTTTAAAGAAGTAGAAAAGAATTGTTCCTTTCCACGACTAACCTCAAACACTATGATGAAGGCCAGCCGTGCTGCCAGGACATGCCAGAACTGCAAAGTGAATTCATATGGAGTTGAACTCCATGGTGGGGCTCTGTAGTCTCTATACCTGTAAAGCAAAGAAAAACCCAGTAAGTTAGTCTGTGCTTAAAAACCTGAACATTGTGAAGAGTTCTCTAGTTTATCCTGGATCTGGCTAAAAGGGGAGAAATTGAAGTGAAGACATACCCTCATCGAGTAGAATTTAACAGAAAAGGAAAATAATAGTCCATAATGCGGGCAATTAAACAGGGCTTCTTCTAAGATGGGGCTTTTTGCTCCCAAAACTCCAGAGCAAACAATTTCATCTATTGTTACCAATCTGACACACTAAGCTGAAGTGTGTTGACCCTAAACTGGTTCTTATTGTTGCTTATAAGTATTTGAGATTCTTCACACAAATTTTGCATAAAAGTTACACAATTTTGGTAACTTCTCAGTCAATTTGAGCTAAATCTGAATCCAGAATGAGTGCAGTCATAAAATGTTGTATATAATATTTATGCTGAATTTCTTATATTCATCTTGCATAACTGTTTGGGATCTTGACCTGGAAAAGATCAACAAATGACAACAAAAATGTCATTTGTGTATTTTAATTAATATACAGACTTTAGAATGCTTAACAAAACCAAAATGAGGATTATTATCCTTCTTGGCAGCCCGGGGCACTTCAAAATGAAATAATTCATAGAGGCACAAAAGATACAGCTTGCAAGAGTTCTGGAAAAACTCAGAACACAGGTTTCCAGTGTTAGTATGGCATCTTACCACATAGTGTTTGCCCCCGAGACTTCCATGTTGAACAGACTTGAACTCCAAAGCTTTTACAGGCAACAAAAGAAACTATTAGACCAGTAATTTAAGCAATAATTTTCAATTTAATGTCTGCATTAACATCTATGCCTGTACTACAAGACGGGAGAGCATTGAAACATACCGGCAGTATCCTGTGTATCCCATCCCAAGTTCACTCAAATCAAATACTGATAAACTGCTGTTGACGTATCCTTTTAAGCATCTGAAAGGGAAAAAAATAGAGTCAGGACTTTCTTCATAAAGCGGTGATATAGTATAGATGCTGTATGTTAACATATTCTGCTATTGTGTACTGTAAGCATACTATTTTATTTGCTTATCAGAAAAAAAAGCGATTGTAAAATTTTAAGTAGAGAAGCAAAGTTTTATTGTAAAGAAACAAAGAACGTTCATTTCAGGGATGACACCATTTAAAAATCTATTTTTAACAGTTTTTGTTAAACTGCTTCTTATCTACCAGCAGATATAAACCAAAAATTGTTGCTACAGTGTCCCTCACTGTCTCCTAAAATTACTGAACTTAGAAAGATGACTAGAAGGGCAGAAAGGAGAATAATTTAACACCCTTGCAGAATCTGCCGTCAGCATATACCAAAAAAATGACAGGTTTTATGAGTTGAATCAAAGAACAATTTTCGCCAGCAGTGAAATGAACAGTGCATATATACCAAAAAAACATTTTAAGGGCAATAACTTATTAGTGTTAACGACAGAAATCACATAAATACATTGAATTATGCCTGTAGGAGTGAAATTTTTGTCTGTTTTTGGAAAACCACAGACACGTAAGACATCTCATCTTCTCGGAAATTCTGTCCTGTAATTTAACAAAGGGCCTTCTGAAAGGCAAGAAACATTTAAAAAGAGATGCATCAGGAATCCTATCCTATCTCTTGAACCTTCAGGTCTGCTATGATGTATTGAATAACTGCTGGCAAAAGAAGAAATGGAGTTACATAGTTCTCTGTTAAATGGGTAGTGCACAATAAGCACTAACATTTTTCTGCTATTTTCACTTTTCGTCTCATCCCGCCTCACTCTTTATGCCCTGTGACAGCACAAGAAGAGTAAATCTCTACTGTGAATCGTCAGAGTTGGAGCAATGAGGGAAGGAAGGACAGACCCCCGCGGTCTGAGCTGAGGCACAGCCTGTGAATGCAGCGGTACTGGCTTGCTGGACAAGCCTTGATGCTTTCACTCTTATCCTTCCTTCTGTGCAATAAAGATAAATTGTGCTTGTGGGACATGCTATACTATTAGCTTCCTTTTCTTGAGGTAACCCTGTCTCCTGTAGTAAAAGAAAAAAACCCAAACTAACCCTCCAAACCCACCGTTTGAAAACTTCCATAGGACACTGGTCTCCAAGTGAAAGAGAGGATGCCCATGAGCACTGTGATCCATTTAGATCATGTACAAGGACATGCTAAAGAGTGTGAAATGCAGACAGAGCACAGTAGACCCACAGTTCAGAGACACTGGTAAGTGTCTGGAGTGAAGTGCAGGAAACCGACCTGGTAGCACAAAGATAGACTTGAAGCTAAGAACTAAGAGTTAGGCTAAAGTGTGTCAAGGCCAGTCTTGCTGGAGCTTGGCTGCCATCACTTCTTAAGAGAAACAGGCAGGGAAGTTTGAGGGTAACAAGACTCAGGATCAAAGAGGATTTGGGAGCATATATACATACATGTGTGAGAGCATAGAGGGAGAAGACAGAGCAGAACTATTGCAGAAGAGAAGAAAAGCTTAACTAGAGAAAGCCTGAAGATCGCTATGATTTATACTGAACTTTGTTGTTTGCATCCAGAAGAGAAGACTTACACAACTGTGGAACAGCTGGGTTACTTGCACTTAACATCTGTGAAGGTTCACACAGATGTAAAAGGTAAAATGTTACTATGTTAAGTATGTTAACACACAAAGCAGTAAAAGTGTGTTTCCTCTGAAATATACACATAAATATAAAAAAAAAAAATCTTAATTACTTTTCCTGTCTGTACCCTTGATCTGTACAGGGACCATATTTATATGCATAGACAAAACGTGGAATGTAATCAGAAGTAATGGCAATAACAAAGGCATTGGTGATGACAGCCAGAACTCCAATTCCTTCCAGAATCCCATACCAGATACCTAGAAACAAGAGAAATGACAACAGTCATTAGCTTTTCACAGTCATATAAAGTCATACTAGTGCTATTAAACTCATAATTAGTCACACAGTTTTCCTTTCTTATCGAGAAAGAATTATTGACTAAGAAAAACTAGTTCAAGATCAAGCCCTGTACCCACACTCCTGCCACCACTGGCTTCACCTCAAGAAAGTCTTACATTAGGGCACACCCTGCCATGAAGAAACAGCTAAGCAACAAGCTATGACCATAATCTTTGGTTCTGAAGGCCAAATAGAAGATTTTGGAAGGAGATTTCTTAATTTAATTCAGTTTTGAACTAAAAGTGAATTTAGTCCTCATATTTAATTTCTAAATTCAATTGATTTTGGATAGCATTTTAGACCTAGAGTTCAACAAATCAGAAGTCTAAAATACTATTTAGCCTGTTTTCAAAATTCCAACTATTATGATCCTTTATTGGAAGTTGAAAGCATATTTGAGAAGTCCTCTTAGCTAAGTAATTGAGTATATCCTTAACAGGGAAGTTGTCCTTGAGATCTGTAGGTTACATTATCAATTTCACTCTTGACACAAGAAACATTTGAAGGGTTAAGCTATGCTGAATTAAAAACCACAAAGAGATGGTACCCATCACTGACAGCCAGTAAGTTTTCTCACCTATATCTGTTGCTCTCGCGGGCATAGGTCTTCGCCACTGCGTGACAAACTTGTACGCATCCAACCTTATTTCTATGATATTGTTAAGCAACGCCAGGAGAGGAGCCAGTGGGAAGGCAGCGACGAAGATGGTGGTAAAGCCAAACTGTAAAACTAGACAGGCATTTCTATGGTTAGAAATTGGAACTGCAAAAGATCTTTTAACGTGCAACATAGTTCCAGTTTCAGGAGAAAACTGACACCTCCCTAAATTTGCTCACCCATCTCTAAGTATTCATCCATTAAGCCATGGAGATTCATAGGCTGCAGATTCCAATCTTTTTCCCACTGAGGTAGAGAAATTTTATGCTCCATTGATTGCCCTCCTCTCTTCATTTTGCGTCGTGACCACCAATTCTGTAATAAACTTTATTAGAGCAAAACCAGCATTACTGACTGTACCTGCTCAGTAATTTAAAATACTTGCTGATATTGTTTTGAAATAAGCAGGCCTGTTTTGAATAGGACCTGAATGTTTACTTAGGTATTTTCTGGAAATATTTACAATATCATACGAGACACAATTCAAAGGCCATCTAAAAGTTCTCAAAGTTCTGCATTATGATTTTAATTACATCTTTAATGTACCATGTTAGGTATTGTATAAATAAGCTTTTCAGAATTAGGATTGTGATTGCATGAACTTTTTCTTTGTAGGATTTACCTGTACATCTAAGGAAAAAAGCAAGAAGAAAAAATCATGTATAATGAGAGCATTAAAAATTACATAATGATTTATTTTTAATCCTGTAAAAGACAAACCAAAAAAGTGGAGGTCAGTAAGAACTCTATGATACTAAAATACATTGACTGGTAGAACATGTTTACTATTTTAATAAACCTAAAGATCTAGATGTTCTGAATTTTTTTTTTCTTGAAGCAGGAGAAAGTATCTAAAAAGGTATTGCTGGAGCTACAAGTATTAAAGACTTTTTTATAAAACTGTGCAGAGGTCTTTTCGCAAAGTAGTTATACATAGTCAGTAGGTAATAGACTCACAAATTAAAGTGTTAAACACATTAAAAATATTTTCCAGTACAGACACAGGTGGCAATTAAAGCCTATTGGTTATTTCCAGATATTACTATAAAGAGACTGAAGATGGGAAATAATTTTCTTATAAGTATTTTTATTAACAGGTTGGTATTTTTTTTTCAAGCTAGTTTAGCATTCAGCTCTTGATGTCTCTTGTTACTGAAAGAGCAACTGCTGCCTTGGTTGCAAAGAATGGTTTTGTCAAAACAAAACACTGCTTTCCGTAAAGAAACATAAGCATGTTCTAAAATAAATTACAGACAGAGTTAACATGCTGCTGGGGTGAGAAAACAGGAAGCCTGATACTTCAAGTGCATTTCTTCCTTTCAGAAATCCACATCTCACAATAATACAGTGCATTGCCCCTCACCTGCAGAACGACTGCACATTGTGAGTGTAAACCCTTCTGACATACTTTCAAGGTTGAGACTTTGATGAAATTATTATTTGATGAGAAACCTTTTACCAAAAACATATTATTTCACTTTTAAGAGAACTGTAAGTCTCTTAGCCTATTACTCTCTCCAGTAGCTGAACAGTTCTGTTTGTATTATAGAAAATAAAATAAAAATAAACAATTTAGATGGTTAACATACCCTGAGAAGCTTTATCTTAGAGCAGCAGTTAATGCTTCCCTTGGGAATAAAGCTGCAGTACATGAGATGCAAAAAGTGAAAACAATCTCCAAACATAAAAATAATTTTTCTTATCACTGAATCTCACTAATATGTAAACACTATTTGGAAAAACATCTGAACTTACGGATAGCCTAGTTCCATGAAGTTGTTCCACATTTGTTTTAAAACCATAATAACTCCCATTTGTAAACACAGATCTATCAAGCAGCCACTAGGATGACACTGAAATGAAATGGAAAAAGATTGGCAGCTAAAATCAGAGAATTCCTTTCAGTTTCATTTGTCCAGATGGTGAATGAAAAACATTCAAACGTTTGTGGAAACTTTTAATATCAATATTAACATCAATGTTAATACCAATATTAACATTAATAACAGAAATATCAACACAGACTTTCATTGACCAGCCTTTAGACATGTTATTTCTTCGAGAACTGGATCATATTACCTAAGCTAAGGCTATGGGTGCTAGATACACGGTAAATTATACAGAGATAAGAGATAACTTCAGCATGCTGGTGAGGTGCAATTCTAACACATGTTCAAGCTAAATTTTGAAAATCTTATTTTTCTTCTTTTAAATCATAGAATCATAGAAGAGTTTGAGTTGGGAGGCACCTTAAAGATCATCTAAGTTCCAAGCGCCCTGCCATTGGCAGGGACACCTTCCACACTAGACCAGGTTGCTCAAAGCCTTGTCCAACCTGACCTTTAACACTTCCAGGGAGGGCACATCCACAACTTCCCCGGGCAACCTGTTCTGGCATCTCACCATGCTCAGTGCAAAACATTTCATCCTTACACCTAGTCTAAATCTACCCTCTTTTAGTTTAAAAAGATTACGCTTTGTCCTATCATGACAGACCCTGCTAAAATGTTCATTCTCATCTTTTGTGTAGGACCCCTTCATGTACTGGGAGGGTCACTACAAGGTCTCCTTGGAGCCTTCTCTTCTCAAGGCTGAACAATTCCAACCATTTAAGCCTGTTGTCATAGGAAAGGGGCTCCATCCCTCTGATCATTTTTTGTGGTCTGTCCTCTGCTCCAACAGGTCTATCCATGTCTTTTCTGTACTGTCAGAAACTTAAGCAGCTGATAAAAGTGCTGATGGTTTATGTCCCCCATCCAAAAATTCCACATACCCAAGAGATTCCAGTCATGCAGGACCTAGGAATGCCTGTAAGGTAAGGGACCATTTTTTGCTCTTCCCAAAGAGAGTGGTAGAAAGAACCATGTGGCTTGGGCAGAGTCACTCAGCACAGTGGAGAGCGCAGAAGGAAAAATGCATTGCCTGTTTCCTATCCTATAAAAGAGGTTACTCTTCCCTGCACATAGAATAACAAATCTTTCAAACTGGACATAATTCATGTCCCTCAGCCATTTCCTTTTCACTTGTGGAAATTTCACAGGAACAGAAACTAGGATTGCTTACCTCTTCCAGTCTCCATCTGTTAAAAAGCTTGTTGTACTTTCCTGGGCGACCTGCAAATCTGGAAAATAAAAAAAAGATTTCTGTTTCTCAGTGGACATTCCAAGAACATTGTGTACCAGTAGTTATTTCACAACGTCCATGGAGCAAACTCATGAAATATAAACAGATTAAAACATGTAAGCTTAAATCCGGTATCTGTAGGACATGGAGGTTTCAGAATGCAAACAAGAACTACCATTCTGCAAGTGAACCTAAGCTTTTATTATGTCCAGAGCAAAAATCATAGCTTCAGAGGTTTTAGATGTTAGATATTCAGACTCTCTAATCTACTTCTGAGGAGATAAGACACTGCAATACAGAGGAATTTACGGCAGCACAGGGGTGTGCTTGCCCACGCTAAAAGTGCACTGGACTGCACCCTCAGACATACAAGCACAAAATCACTTCCAAACCCATCATGATGAAATGCTTTTACAGATCTAACAGATTCTTGTATAATGAATTGAATTAAAATTCTTAATGACTTCAGTGAAAGTTATAAATGAAAGGAAAACCACCATGCCTGGTCCTACTAGACACAGCAGGTAGGAGGATAGCAGGAAGTTTAGAAACTGTGTGGCAAATGCACCACTGGGCGTAACAAGCAGGTATTACCAACGCTCTTTACTAGAGCTTCGGGTTTTTTTCCCCAAACAATCTTGAACAAAACTGTATTATAAAACTTTATGGAAGGTAATCTGAAATACTCTGTAGGTTCTAGAGGAATAAGTCTGATCATAAAGAAATCGAAGTGAAGATGAAGCAAAGTTAGACCTGTCCAGCATCTCACACTCTGAGCTAGATACATACAAAATCTGGTTCCAGAATTTCTGCCTCCCACTCTTGTACAAGACCTGCCAGACAATATTTACTATGCATAGAAATGGATCCTGCGAAATTTAACCACAGGAGAATAAACAAGAAAAAATTACTGAAGTCTATTAATGCAGAGCTAAATACAGACCCACGTTGAATAAATGACTCTATTTTCAAGGGTTCTGAATTTTCATTTACTAGGTAAGCCATATGCAAGTCTACTTAAAAAGCAGACTTTTTATTGTCTAGCTTCATAAGCAAACATGTCAAGGGTCCAACACTCACATACAGTTAAAATATAAATTTAGTGTTATTAATTATCCTCAGAAACTGACTTGCATCTAAATCTTGCAGTTCAAACTTTCACTATAATAAACCAACAAAATTAGTTGAGGATTATGTAGAAGTTTTCCTTTAAATGCAGTTAGTAAAGAAAACCTACCTGCCAAGAAAAAAGGCAATGTAAAAGATGGAGCTGTTCAAGTTAACAAACTGGAAGAGGAACATTTTCAAGGCAAAACTGTTTTCCCATTCAGATTCTGTTCTAGGGTGCTCTGTCAAAAGACACAATGTACATTACACATAGAAAAATGAAATCACTATTTTCTTCCCCATTCCCGGGTCTGGAACAATTTAATACATTTAAAAAATTAAGTGGGAATACAAATCAGTGTGATATAAAAAATATTTTAAAATATTTTAATAATATGGCTAAATTGACTATACATTCTGAAACATTCTAACCTGTTTGGCTGCCTGCTATCTGAAACACTACAGATCACTTTTGAGCATCTTGTTTAATGCATGATCTTCAATACTTCAACCAGAAGAGGGAGCTGTTAAATTTAAGCAACGAGGTTGCTTTTCAACTGTGCCAAGATCAACTGCGTAATTTGACACGGGCTAAAAGTGAGCATGTAAGAAACACTAAAAGGTAACAGATTCACATAGTAGGGGATCTTAAATGCTGGCTTTGCTTTCTTGTATTGCATAAGCTAGAAAGCTTTACCTCTATGACTGAATCATGACTAGAGGCCTTCAGTGTAAATTTTTAACGTGACAGAATTAAGAGCTACTCTAAAATTTATGATATAACATTTCAAACTTGGACAATGTAATCTTATCTTAATCCATTTCTTCTATATGATAGTTCAAGTTAAAAAATGTAAGAAAAATCAAGCAGTTTTAAAAAATGGAAAAAATCTGGTGTAGCATTCTAACAAAAAATACATTTTGACTTTTGCTTCATTATGACAATTTTTAAATTTATGCTATAAAATTTAAAAGAAGTAGAAGAATAAACTCCTTTATTTTCTATTATTTGCTTACTGAATAGTAAGATAATTTTTTTTGCCTGATATTTCTCACTTGCTTAGGGAAATGCTAGAATCATACTGCGCATAGACAAAGTTTTCAAACTCCTATTTTATGGAAACACAGCAGTATATACCACAGCTAGCAAGAACCACAGCACTAGTAAAGGCCTACATACCCAAGTCTGTCAGGAGATAGGCAACCTTTTCATACACCTAAAACAGAAATAAGAGATAGTATAAGTATAGCACAATCCTGTCCATTGTGATGATAAATCCAGAGTGAGAAAAAGCATCAAAAGCATAGGTGTTGCCCTACTGCATCAAAGTATCTGGAAACAGAAGGGAGGGCAAAGTTGTAGCTAAAACTATAGGATGTAAAGACTTCATTGAACAACTTCAGTCCTGTTCAATTTATGCATGCAAATACATGTATGTAAGTATATACATTAAATAGACAGTAAATGAATCAAGAGCCAATAGATGAAGAGAAGTGTGCAGACATAAAAGGTTCTGTTAATGAACAGTTAGATGCTTATCCTCTAACTTCAGGAGCAAATCTATGTGATCAAAAAGTCAAAAAGGCAAAAGCCTTTACACAATACAATTTCCCTTTGCATGAATATGCTTACTAGCGAGGATAACGGCCTCCTACTGAAAATGTTCTTGTCTGTCTATGCATTGACTATCTCTAGTGTTTATTTTATATGACACTCAGTCCAAGGTGATTATCAAGTTTAAAAAAAATTCCTTCAGTATTTACTATTAATAGCAATTTATTTTCAATAGAAATAAATACAAGACAGTTTTGAAGGATGGCATTGAAGCAAGCGCACAATCTCAACAGAATTAAAAGCCTTTGTTTGCTGTGCTATTTTTCCTTTCTACCTGTCTGTGCCTGCAGGGGAATAGAAAAATGATAAATTATATTGCAGCAGAAAGAAGAGAGTTTATACCAATGTACATTGTGCTATCACAGCAAATTAAATAGACTAAACCTGTGCTGTTACATGACAGGAAAAGCTTAAACTGAAATAATGGATCACAGTGATTCTAGGACTGTGCAATACTGATACCACAGCTGTATTTTAAATTAGAAAGGGAAAAATTCAAAGTTATCAATTAAAAAATATCAGAAAAATTTCTCAGCCAAGAACATATTGAAGTTCCATTTAGAGATGAGATGTATTGTAAAAGGTTGCTATACGAATAAGCAAGACCATGTATATATCTGATATACAGTAAAGTCAGTAACCTCGTAAAAATTAATCCCTCCTTTAAAAGAAGACTTACAACATTGAGTGACATGATGATCATAAAATTGATACAGACTCCAGTGCCAGAGGTTGCAAACTGCCAATACTTCTTGATGAAATACCACTTGAAAGAAGCAAACTGCTCCATGGCCACCAGACGATACACCACAACTGCAAACACTGCGGTGAGGACTAGTGAAATCTACAGGTGAGTATTTATAAGCAGAGATATTAGAACAAAATAAGTCATATCTGAAATATTTTCTACTGAATTAATAAACTTACAAGCGTTTTAAAACATGCCATTTGTTTTAGTGAGCAGACTTCGAGAGAACAAAAATACTAGATTGAATAAAAAATTTATTTACTGTTCTTTTACAATATTGCATCTTTTAAAAGAAAGAGATCCATAAACAAACAGTAAGACTGAGATAATCAGTTATGCTTGCATTACGCAAATCCACTAATCTTAATGAATGCACTCATGATCTGCCTTACTGTTTACATCAGAATAAGATTAAAGACTACAATAATTCCAATATTTTTTAACATTACCATGAAGAATATTCCTGAGACAGACACCATCAGTCGACTGAGCTTGTCAGGGAAAGGCTGAAAAGGTTCAGGTTTTCCTGTGATGGGATTTACTCTTTCCACTTGGGAATATTTAGCCTCAAACTGAGGGCGCAGCTCTTCCTGGAATGACAGGAATTGGTTGTACTACTTACTTCATTGACGTTTCAAAAATCAGACATAGACATGCTGTAGGAACTGATACAAATTCTTTTTTATAATGCTCCAACTCAAATGTCCAAATCATTTGCTCTTTTGAAAAACCTTGGAAACAGTGCCAGAGACCAACGAGGAACAGAAACCATAAGAGCCTTCCCCATTATGTGAGGGCATTGAAAGGATCATGGGTCATAACACTGACTTAAACACTCGTTTCTCTGCAGAAATTTATATGAAAACTATAAATTAATGCCAGTTATGATGGTGTTTTTTGTGGTGTGAAAGCCACCAGCTGTTATCTATGCATCCGTGGAAAGCTATAAAACAAGTGATGGTAAAGTGTCTGTCGACTTAGACTGCAGTTAAATCCCCAGTATAGTTAATTACAGCCACGCTCACTAGTCATTTATGAAGTAATAAAATAATGTCATTATTGCTGATGCTGATAGCAGAATGTTAAAGGGTAAGTTATGCCTCTCAGAAGGATGTAATATCTAGTTCCTGTCCTTTTAGTGGTCTTGGTCCTTTTTATAGGCAGGATTAGGAATCTCCAGTACAAGAAATCTTAGGTTTGAAAGGCATCTGCATTGACATCAGTCATAGCTCCTGTGCTCTCTACAGGCAAGTATTTCCACTCAGTTTTTCAAAGGATACTTTTAATGAATGTGGAATTAGAATTATAATGCTAGTTGCAGAAGGCAAAGTATCCTTGTATAGTCTCAAGTATACTTTATTCTGCAACCAGTGTTATAAATACAAACATAAAATGAATGACAAAATCAGATTATGGGCATACAACATATTTACAGTTAAATCATGCTGATATCAAGATTTTCAAGTTTATTTCTGTTTAGTCTTACCTCTTCATCTTCCCAGTCTATGAGGTCCCAGTCATAGGTTAACACAGCTCTCCGTCTTTTCCAAAACTCCAGAAAGACTGTAGCTGTGAAAATCATCAACTGCATTTTAATTATGGAAAAGAAAGAAAAAAGACCATGCATATCTCAAGAAAATCAGCAATATGTAATATGTTAACTGTCATTAGCCACTTTCTGGCTGTTTTCTCCATAGAATTTGAAAACCATAAGTAACTTCAGGATAATCACTGTTAAAATTGAACACTACTTTAGAATGTTTATCTAAGAATAAATTTTTTTGCTGTCTGTTACACCAGTACAGAGATATCCGTATCTGTTAATGAGACACTTCTGTCCCTTTTAGATCATAATTTTACTTTTAATTTTATCTAAAATCTATATGGTTTAAAATTTTTTCCTGAAGAAAAAAAGATATGCATACACAATGGTATCTATTAAGAAAGAGCTGAATTATGATCTCATTTTATTCAGTTCGAATCAGGACAACCTCACTTCTTCCCCAGCTCTACCAGCTTTATACTTAACTACTAAAATATTGCTTCAGACAATTATTTCTAATCTATGTGTAGATTCTCCATGCAGTTAGTATTTTTGGTAGGTCCTATAAAAATAATTACAACTGATAAGTAACTCTGATTTTCCAAATTCTGTCATTTGCCACTGAGAGCGAGACACCCTGTTTTGGTGGGATTCCTGACAAAATGTGGGCTTGTCCAATTGTCCCCTGGAAAACAGTGATTTCAAAGCAGGAGCAAGAAGACTCGCTTCCTTCTCGCAGGCCAGCTGCTCAGAAGGACGATTTCTAGCTCAAATTGAATAGAATGGTCTCAAATTCCGAACTTTTTCTATATTTCTGTTTAACATCTTATTTGATTTATATATATATTATATACAGCTATTGCAATTATAGATATATAATTTATCCATATACTATATTAAAGCACAATGAGTACAACTTAGCAGACATTCACCATATCACTGCCTATAAATAACGAATAAGATAAGTAGAGTGATGCTTGATGGTTAAGGCAGACAGGAAAGATATGTTCATACAATCTTAGTGTAAAACAAATTTTCTGACATTGTCAAGAAATGACAAACGGCCACTGTTCAATGCTACGGAAGGAAACGAGAGAGCAGAGAAAGAAACCCAAACAAAACCAAGAATCCAGAGAACCCAAGACTATTATGTGAGCAGATCACTTCCAAATGTTTTACAAGAGCCACTGTGTCAAGATGAACAACGTGTTTATTCCCCAAAAAGTTATTGCAAAAGATTTTCAGTAAGGAACTAGGCCAGCCAGGTCCCTTCCGAATACTCAGCTCAATTACTTGTTTGGTTTTATCCAGTGAGACTCTTTCACAGCCAAGCCATGCATTAAAAGCGGTCCTATGGCTTTGGTACCACACCCACAACTGAGAAACACTCTTTAGAATTGCAGCTGCCACCTGATAAATCCAGGCTCCAGACGAATGACAGCTCAGCCTCATCTCCCACTCCTGGAGCACTCTGGACCACCTCGGCTCCATACGGCCTCAGCTCAGATCTGTTCATGCCTGGGCTCACTGCTGGGGGTTTTGCCTTCCAAGAACAGCTCAGGGCCAGCACTGCAGGTGTGTGACACTCAGCCAAGAACCGAGTCACAAGCAGAGCATCTTCCAGTCAGTGCTAAGTCACTCAGGCAAACGGTTTTTACTTTTCCTAGCAGATGTGCTAACAAACAGAAGAGAGAGCAAGGTACCTTCCCGAGCCTAACATGGAGGCCCAGGGCAGCACTAGAGGGGCCTGACTTTCACATCCCTGTAATAGCTACACTTCAACAGAATTGCAGCCTATATAGAATCATAGAATGGCCTAGGCTGGAAGGGACCTTAGAGATCATTTTAATCCAGCCTCCCTGCCACCAGGGACGCCACCTCTTGACTAGATCAGGCAACACATGGGGACCGAACGGGAATCGAACCCGCAACCTTGGCATTGTTAGCACCACGCTCAACTGACTGAGATAAGCAGCCCCCTAATATATTTAAGGTCTTGCTGTTTTCAAACATGTATCTATTCAAATAACCATTCTTTTTAAAAAAACTATGTATTTCTCAGCACCATAATGCATGTGTGCTGGTGTGAAGTAGGCTGTTGACCCTAGTATATCACTTAGCACTTGGTTAATGCTATGTAAGGTCTAAATTTGGACAAAAATTTGGGGTGCTTGCTTTCAGATCTCATCATCAATCTGTTCCATGCATGCCCACCCAGACACAATGCTAAATATTGTTGCTACACACTGCAGAGAATGCTACTAGAGTCCTAAGAAACCCAAACCCACAGGATCAGACTGTCCTCTCTCCTCTCACAGGCCACCTCACCTCATGCCACACAAATAATTTATTTCCGCAAAAAAGATATTAGAAAGGGTAGAACTTGATCCATTTCACAGAAAATCTTTCACTTGTCCACTGCAGTATTTTCAAGAAAACACCACTTGTTGCTCCCATATAAACACCTCCTGTATATGCCATAACCTCAACACTTATCTCAAGAATAAGTTACAAAATAGTATTTGCACTTGGTTCCTTAAAAATGTAAAGTGGAAATAGATGATGACATCGTGGCATTCCACTCAGTCACACAATACTGAAACATTTCTGAGATGCTCTTCACCACATACCAGCCTAGAATAAATATACATAAAGAATTAAAGAATAAAAAAAAATCATGGGTTAACTAAATGAGCATATTAAGTTACATATGATATGCCTGACTCCCTCACCTTCTAAGGCAAGGAGAGTTTTAACATTCAGATCCCCAGATGGTTATGTATTCCAAAGTAAAAATTATTGACATCTGATAAATTCAGAAAATTTTGATTTAGACCATCATCTTAAATTATTGCAACTGTGAACATATTTAGAGATAGGATCAGATCTTTTTAGCAGCATGTTTTTCTTAACAGAACTCATTTTGCTGCTTTATTTGGCACAAGCCTTTCCCACTTTTCACCTCACAAAGCGTACCGTAGGAAACTCTGCGATAAAAAGAAGCTATCATTTATTAAATTATTAGTTGCACAGTACATGGAACAATAGTTTCTATAGTTTACAGAAAACAGTCACCCTTCTGAAGCACCGGTTCAAAGACTTTCAAAGGATTAAGCAATAAGCACTGCCTACCCACTTTACCATAAACACCGCAATTTCTGTGGACTCTGTAATGACAGAGCTCGGTCTTGACAGCAGCAAAGTCAGTCGGGCTGGTTCCTGCCCCACCTCGGCTCACCCGCACGGCGCGTTCCTGGCCCCTGTCCCCGCCACGGTTGCTGTACCTGTGCTCCCCGTTCCCTGCCAGACCCACTGCACTCCAGGCCAGAGCAGTATTTCAGCAGGTTCTGGCAGATGTTGTAGAGCTCAAAGGTAAGTCTGGGGGTTGTTGGGGTTTTTTTAATGCTTATTAGTGAAGCTAATTAATAATCATGATGTTCTTTTACAGAAGTTTTCAGGAAGGCAATCAGTGCTTTTGCAGTCAAATTCTACTTAGAGTGCATTCCTGAGAAAATAACTTAAAAAAGAAAAAAAAAAAGTTCCATGATTCAAACATCAAAGGAGAGAAGCAGTAAGCACAAGCAATGACAATATTTCACTCAAATCCATACTTTTCTTTAGTGTGTATTTGTGCTCCTTATCGAGCAAGCATGGAATTTCTCCCAGAGTCAGTTCAGGGCCCATTTTAAATGCTAAGGAGGTGGTGGTGAAGGGAAGTATTCTGTGTATGCTACTTCATACAAAATTTTTGTAAGGAAAGGCATTGCTTTTCCTGAGATTAGTTATACCCCCACATTTGTCAGGTTGCTAGCTAGTAACAGAGGGGAAAAGATAAATTAATTAGAGAATTTTAGAGCAGAGAGCCACAGGAGCAAAAATCCAATATGTTTCTGGGAATACCATTTGCTAATTTCTTTCTGATTTCTAAAAGACAAGTTCTCTATATCTTGCTTTACATTTGTTCAGCCTATTTTTGGATCACTGATGTAAAGGTGAAATGTGCTTTATGAGGCTTAAAAAGCATAAGAAGTGTGGAAGCTCTGCAAATATAAACATGCTACTCCAGGCTACAAGAAACAAAGAAGTGCCATTAATAATCTGCTTGTCATGTCACCATTTACTACAATAAATTAAAATACTTTCTAATCACTACTCTAAGGAAAGGAAACAGTGCAAGGACCAGTTTACTGACATGCAAAAGAATGACCTTTGAATTTATAGTTCTGAAGATTATATTATCTACTCATAAGAAGGAGCTGAAAGGGTTATTTTCTGACAGTTGCAGAGGTTTGGCAGACATTACACCTGTCACTGGCAGATGCTGGATTGTGTTCAGGAAATACATGTTGCAATTACTTTATCATACCAAAAATCTATTTTTAAACACTTAATACACCACTGGTTATACATTTAGATGAAAATTGCCATGTAAGAATTCATTAAGGCAATTTTTTTACTGTGTTCCAGAAATAATCAGTGCAAATCTAAGCAGTTTAAGCAAAACACAAAGCCAGATGCACAACCTTCACGGTGAAGTCCTTAGATCCAGGAGAGGTTGATTTGAACAGGAGCAGAGCTTCACCGAGAAAGCAGGTGTGCAGGTGCACCTGTATGTTCACTAGTAGCTTCATATTGAAAACTTCCTGCTGCAAAGTAACCTCAACCTTTACTAATAACAAGGATTTTTGGAGCTTTTTCTCAATTTACTTCATCTAAAATAAAGAAGTCTGTATAATACAGAACTACAGCCACCTCAGCATGGTGGTACCTACATTAGCATTTTAACCCACATCAGGAACATGCTTGTAAAGTCTCCTGATCATCCCCGCTTGCTGCCCATTGGCTTAGACCACTGGGCGCCCCCGTCACTGAGATAAATGACGGCTCCAGAAACAGCCTCACATGGGCCAGCTCATAAAAAGGTGCTCAGAGTGAAGAGATTGTGGCAAATTCAGAGTAAACTCCTCCAGAAACATGGGAAGAGTGGGTATCCAGTCCTCAGCACTTCTACAGGTCTCTTGCAACT